ATTTTTGCTTCTACTTTTCATTTAAAATAAGTTTCCATTTTCGGCAGGTTTCTAAGGATTTTCTTCTATGTATTAAAAATGTTGTTAAACCTCTGAGTCACATACTACCGCTACTAGTGGTGAGAAAGTGTATTGCATCTTATTCAAAATCAATGCGGTCCCACGGCCCTCTGCGGCCCAAAGTTAAAAACGGTTGTTCTTTTGAGGCCCTCAAGGTGGCACTCGCGGCCCACAGGTTAAGAATCTCTGGTTTACGGCATTATTTTAATAACCACTATGACAGTAGTGATGCTGCCAATAACAAAGAAGAGATAAGTTGCTTTTAGAAGCGAGCCAGATCTCAAAGAACTATCTAAAGAGCTGTTTAATTTAGAACATTAGTGGCTTCAATAGTCATGGTCTACGTTACAATGCTTGGCCTAAGTCACTATGGTTGTTCTAAGACACTACATTTGGTCTAAGTCACTTCCCATAGTCCACATCACTACGCTTGGCCTATGTCACTCTGCTAGGTCTACGCATGGCCTATGTCTGTATGCTTGGACTACGACTCTATGCTTGGCCTAATTCCCAATACTTGGCCTATATCACTATGCTTGGCTTATGTCTGTATGCTTGGGCTACAACTCTATGCTTGGCCTAAATCCCAATACTTTGCCTACGTCACTTTGCTTGGTCTACGTCACTACACTTGGCCTAGGTCTCTATGTTTGGCTTATGTCTCTATGCTTGGACTACGACTCTTTGCTTGATCTAAATCCCAATGCTTGGCCTATGTCACTATGCTTGGCCTACATCACTATGCTTGGTTTACGTCACTACACTTGGCCTAGATCTCTGTGTTTGGCTTATGTCTCTATGCTTGGCCTAAATCCCAATGCTTGGCCTATGTCACTATGCTTGGCTTACGTCACTATGCTTGGTCTACGCTTGGCCTACGACTATGTTTGGCCTACGTCTCTATGCTTGGTCTATGTCACTATGCTTGGCCTACATCACTACATTTGGTCTATATCACTATGCTTGGCTTATGTCTGTATGCTTGGGCTACAACTCCATGCTTGGCCTAAATCCCAATACTTTGCCTACGTCACTATGCTTGGTCTACGTCACTACACTTGGCCTAGGTCTCTATGTTTGGCTTATGTCTCTATGCTTGGACTACGACTCTTTGCTTGATCTAAATCCCAATGCTTGGCCTATGTCACTATGCTTGGCCTACATCACTATGCTTGGTCTACGTCACTACACTTGGCCTAGATCTCTGTGTTTGGCTTATGTCTCTATGCTTGGCCTAAATCCCAATGCTTGGCCTATGTCACTATGCTTGGCCTACGTCACTATGCTTGGTCTACGCTTGGCCTACGACTATGCTTGGCCTACGTCTCTATGCTTGGTCTATGACACTATGCTTGGCCTACATGAGGGAGGGAAAAATCACGAGAAAGCATTTTTCAAAGAAACTGCTCTCAGTTGTCAACAACTTGGTTCTCAGTGTTTGTTCAAACGAATCTGATCATTCATGAACATTGCATCTGTACCCAACAGTGTTTGAGCAGCTTGATTGTAGGCTCATTGCAGAAAGCTCTATTTATTTGTTTTCACAATATGAATGATTTGTTTATATTCAAGGACAATTAACAGAACAGAATGATGCATGTTACTCTTTACATGATGGCAACCAAAAAAGCCAACAGTGGTATTTCTAGTGTTTCTCTATTTCAGTGGTCTGGCCCTTGTATTTACAAAGCATTTAACTCTATTCTAAAAGTTGAAGCTAAAATTTTTACACCACTGCATTTTCATGATTTGACTCTTCAAAAAATACAAGGTACTTTCCTCTGAGAACTTTCAGGTGTTATTTCACTTTGGTTATGCTTTGCGAGACCTGTAAGCCTGGAAACAGGAGGTGGGAAAGCTAGAAACATGAAATTATTGCAAACCTTGAGCCCCCATCTAAAACACCTCCTCCCTTGTTTTGAGTCACTTTATGCACCACATCCTGAACACTGCAGTCAATCACACCTCTGGTAGGAAAGTTCTGTTCGTCACACTGTGTCAGAAACACAAAGCAGTTAAATGTTCTCTTCACACAGCTGTCCTGAGATACATATACAGCAGAGGTATGGYGTTAGAACCACAGGTGGGCTGTTTCCTTGTCAAGCTGTGAAACAATAAAGTACATGCATCAACCTAAAAGTAAAACTACCCCCAAAAATGAACWACACTCTATGACTATCATGTTAGAGATTATTATAAATTAGCCAAACCTCCCTCTATGCTCAGAGAATATAATTAGCAATTAGCTCCAGCAATCTGTTYACATTCCCGTTTTAACATAAAGCCAGTCTTGTGCAAATTAAGCATCCTTACGTCTAAATGAAGTCTTTTACTGAAGCACAAATACAACAGAATGAGTTAATCTGTGCTCTCATAGTATCTACTTCACTTGACTGCAGACAGTGGAAGGTCACTGAGTGCAGAAGACCTTTAATTTTACAACAGACCTTTGATATGAGCTCAGTGCAAACACTAACTTCAGGCTGCTCACTTCTACAGCAACAAGTCTTTACCAATCCTCCCAAAACAGCTTCCAGTCTATTTGCCCTTCATTTTTGTCAATAGAATTGGCTTCCTCTCTAAATAATTTCCTCTGCTGAAGGGATTCAAACACACAGKGCCCTCCTGTAGGGTCCAGTAACAGTGGAAATGACTCACAATCATGAACCCCACAGTGTAATCTRTCAGGGGGGTATTGATCAGATCAGATCCTGTGTGGTGAGGCAGCATGTTCTGGAACAAACAGGTCAAGTGAGTAAGAGATCCTCCAAACATTATTTCAACAAAATTGAAAACTTTTCAACTTCAGTCTATAATAAAAAAAAGAAAAATGTTCATTATTTAGACTGACTTAAGAGGGATAATCCAAAATCTATTTTTTGAGCTTTATATCATGTTATAATGTCACTATCTCCTCAAAAACATACTCGGTGTTGCTTTGACTCATCCATACATTTATGAAATCCTTGAATCTCCTGTGGTAGCCATGTGGGGCTGCCTAAATGCTTGCTGAAACAAAGCTCCGCCTATTTACACAAAGCTCCTCCCTGGAGCTCAGTCTGCAGCCGACCTGATGCCCCACAGAGCACCCCTCCCATACACAGCTCCGCCAGACATCAAAATCCAGTCATATGAAAAAGTTTGGGCAGGCTTGTTAATTTTCCTGACTTACCTTTATAAATCATTGATTGTTTGGATTAAAAATATTAGTTAAACATATCATATAGGGGACAAACAGTGATATTTGAGAAGTGAAATGAAGTTTATATGATTTACAGAAAGTGTGCAATAACTGGTTAAACAAAATTAGGCAGGTGCATAAATTTGGGCACCGTATTCATTTTATTGATTTCAAAACCTTTAGAACTAAATATTGGAACTTAAATTTGGTTTGGTAAGTTCAGTGACCGTTGAACTCCACACACAGGTGACTCCAATTATGAGAAAGGGTATTTAAGGGGGGCAATTGTAAGTTTTTCTCCTCTTTGGATCTTCTTTGAAGAGTCGCAGCATGGGAGTCTCAAAACAACTTTCAAATGATCTGAAAACAAAGATTGTTCACCGTCATGGTTTAGGGGAAGGAAACAGAAAGCTATCTTAGAGATTTCAGCTTTCAGTCTCCACTGTGAGAAACATTGTGAGAAAATG